TATATAAAATATAAACAAATGGGGCCATGTACGATGAGTTCCGGTTGAAAATAAAACTTAGAGCTTCATCACAGTAGAAGGAACATGTGTTAAGAAAGGTGGCGAGATACTTTGTAATGCTCTCAAGGTTAAAACCAATGTCTTCAAGAAAAACATTGGGCAATTCACTGGGTTGAAGAATTAATCCAGTACTATGAGGACACTGAAATACTAACTGAAAAAACCGGTTGAACAGTTCGAATTTTTTAAAACACATTACCGGTAGTCTTGTCATCCCAATATGAAGGAAACATTTTGGTACTGTTAAAGGCTTTTAAAAATGAAAAAGCTTCATTGGTTCCAAGCAATTGTTTTTCTGAAGAAACACTGTTCTATCTAATTTGATAAGCATTTCTTACATTGAATTCAATAAAATATATTTGTTTTGGGCCCCTTCTGCGGTGCCAAGCTGTCTCTAGCTTTCTAAGTTCATGAAAATTATACACAGTTCATGAAGAATGATAAAAAAGATTTGATGCTTTATTTGCTTGTTCCGGCAGCACTGATAAACTAAATTGTGTTTCTACGAATTTCAATCCACGCTTCGTTCAAACAGAAACCTCATTTTTTATCAAGATACACATTTAATCTATGCTTGTCAAAATAGAATAAGCTCAATTTTTTTTGTGATCAAAGGAGTTGACCGAAAGTTGGGTTGCGGTGTCAATTTTTTTTCATATATATCTGCATTACGCAAAAGGATGACATGGTAATGATTTGAATAATTCATGAAAAACAATCAAAGGCGAGATCATAAACATTAACACAATTAAAAATAGGGGTAACAAATATTTGCGACAAATCGCATTCATTGGCTGAAAAATCTAATAAAAATTGATCATCTGAGCAACTTGAGGTAACAGTTTCCCAATTGACTGAAGGAAAATTGAAACCTCTCAACACTAGCCACTGAAGTTTTACAAAACAAGGGTGATTAACAAACTTAGCCTATATTTTCAAAGCAAGATATCAAATTTTTGCTTCAATTATTGATGGTGGAATAAAATAACTCAAAGGACGAAATGGAAGATAAAGTAAACTTATAACCAATAGCTCTTTGAGTCAATTATTCAAGTGAATTTTACTTCAATAACGGCGACAAGTTTTTCTCTGCCAGCTAATAAAACACCTCCATGCCTTCCATTTGGAAGGTTACTTCTTCAACAATTGGAATAACTTTGCCCAATAAGAAGAGATGTATCAGGGAGAAAAAAGTCCAGCCGGGTTTCAGTTAGGCAAAAATGACAAGGACTTTGCAAAAAAAAAACGATTAACAAACACTAAAGCGTCTCTTGTCTCTCTAGTGAAAGAAAGCATCGACAATTAAACAGGCAAACCAATTTCTTTACAATATTTTTGATCTAATCAATTTATCGGAACTTCAATAAACTTCCCATTTTTGATTTTGAAATACTTTCTCGGGTTTCGTTTGTTGGGTTTTTGCTTCAAGCCTCTGAGATTGAACTGCAATGCTTGCTCTGCAGGTTTTAGTTTAGGATATCTGTGAGCTGAAAGATGCTGCCGTACCTAGTGCCTTTGCATTCCGTAAGAACTGGAACCGCAAAAAGGAGGGTTTGAATTGGAGGAGCAGTAAATGATTTCCTGTTTGTTTGTGAACATTATCAATTTTTCCTATCTGTATTGCTTGATTTATTGGTTTTTCAATGTCTGGGGCTTTTGCAATACTGTTAACAAAATCATCATCTGTTTTTGAGTCAGATGGCTTCGTCTCTTTTACAACTATAATTGTTTTTTTTTACTGTCAAGAAGTCGCTGCTTTTCGTACATTTTCAAATTCGTGGCTCTAGCATCATTCTCAATCGTTAATGTTTTCACTAGCACATCAGCGTAGCTTTTCTCTTCGATAATGTTTCTAGACTAAAAAAACCGCATGTAAATTTCCTTTCGATGACTTGATCAACCGGGGCAATTGTTATGGTTTTGACAGGGTATGAATCTGAGCAGCAAACATGTCACTTCAATAAAATCGTCCTCTTCTCTATTTATCTTTTTTTTTTGCAGTTTTAGTGCCATTGGAAACAACTAGAGCCTCTCGCACACCAAGTTTTCTTTCCACCACAAGGAGTCAACCCAATGCCACCAGAAAACATGACAAGCTTTAAAGAATAAAACGTGTTTGTGTAAAAAAATGCCGCCTACTGTTAATTTAAACAGGAAAAAAAAGATTTCATCGATTTAGGGTCTGTTGAGTAGTTTGACAGTTTTTAACTGATAAGTCATTCCAGGAGACAAGAGCTACACAGTTTTAAAAAATATGTTCCGTCGAAACCTTACTTATCTATTTTATAAATTTATCACTACACTAAGGCTAACTCCCATTTTGATTTTTGACATCAGATGTTTTCATAAAAATCAAAAAACTTAACAGAATTGAGTTTTATTCACAATTTAATAAAATAGATAGCAAAACTTCTTTCAACAAACTCGACAGAGGGTTGAAAAACATAGAAACGTGAATCACGGCAATTAATTTATAAAAAACCAGGACAAAATCAAAGCAAAAACTTCACTCAACCAAAGTAAAATTATGGAATTTTCATTTACGGCTGAGCTGCAAAAACAATGTCAGTTGAGCTGTTTATTGAGTATAATCACAAGAAAAATAAAGAGTCTGGAAGTAAGACTGACTAAAAAAAACTTTTTTGTTTTGTTGTTTGAGTTTCATGCGTAAAAAAGGAACCGAAATATTACAAAAATTATAGCAAAAATCATATAGGGTTAGGTGCAAAAAGTTCAAAAACAATAAAAGAAAAAACTAAGCCTTCAGTAGTTGATTCACAGATTGGAAAACTACAAGCGAGATCTGTAAAGTTTGGATTAGACAAAAGATACTAAATATCAAATAACACTTCTTTTCAATAAGGTTATCAATTAGACTGTAAATTTTTTGAAAATTGTACAAAAAGAAGCAACCCGTTTTCATGTTTAGGCGTAAGCAATTGATTATAGCGGATTATTATGATGGTTTTTTGACAAATATAATTGATTATAATTATCAAAAATAGGCGTTTAAAGTATTTATAATCGACTATAGTCGTGATATTTTCCAAGAGACTATAATCTATTATAATTGGTTTTAATCTCTTCTTTTAGTCAGAATTTTGTAACACCAAAAGTACAATTTAATTATATCTCATCGGTTATGATTTTTCTGTCAATAACAAAATCTCTAAAACCGAGATGTTCTGTCAGACATTGGTTCATTTGAACACAAAGTTTCAACACGAAACAAAAATTTCATAGAAATTTCTTTCGTTTTAGTTGAAAGATTCCCGCGGTTTGTGAAAAATAAGTGTTCCAAGTAAATCAGAAACCAAAGCAATGTGCTGTTATTTTGGTGGTTAAAAAATTAAGATGTGCATCATGAAGCAGTTTGAATGAGAAATGAACAAATTAAAAAATTTTAAGTGTGAATTGATTTGAAAAATTTTAAAGTATTTTTTTTTCATTTTTTTCATACGCCAACGTCTACGAAAAGCCTAAAAAATAAGCAATTCGGATCCAAGGTCGGAGATAAAATGGGCAATCAAAAAAGGATTATAATCTACTATAATCGATTATAGTTGATTTTTTGAGCACAATATATGAATTAGAAACAGGGAAAATATAATCAATGATAATCAATTATAATCGATTATGATTATATCAAAAAAAAATTTCTCATAGGCCAACGTCTAAGAAAAGCATAAAATATAAGCAATTCAAATGCAAGGTCGGAGACAAAATGGGAAATCAAAAAAAGGATTGTAATCGATTTAAATGGATTTTTTGTGCACAAAATGTGATTTAGAAACAGGGAAAAAATTATCAATTATAATCTATTATAATCGATTATGATTGTATCGAAAAGTAGATTGGTCACTAATCGATTTTATATAGATTTGATTAAATTATACTATAATTGATCATAATTGGATTTCAAAAAGAGAGATTACAATCAATTAATAATTGATTAAAATCAATTTTCTCAATTTTAGTAAGACTGCTACTAAAATCATAATATAATCGATTATTAACGTTTGGAACTGGATGTGGGAAACCTTTTAGATTTTGTTGTACATGTTTCTAAAGTAATTTTTTGACTTTTTCGTTGACGGGCATCCATCATTAGTCTTTGTTTATCGTACTTCGAGTAATTATAATCAGCAATTTTGTCGTCGTTCTCTGATTTTAAATGATTTCAGTTACATAGTGCAAAAAAAACATAAAACGGTTTTCAAAAACTTTAAGGGTTTATTTGGACAAAGAAAAAACTTTCGGCTCAGACTATCCAAACTGCTCTCAAATGGGACTTGCGAAAAAGCATGCAGCTTATGGCGATCACTGGAATCGGCGTTTTTAAAATTGTTTATTGATTGTAATTACCTTCTGAACTGTCCTCGAATAACTTACGAGTTTATTATGATTGTTTGTACGTATCATTGATTCTTTTTGAGACTGACTGGCGCGCGTTTCTTTTCTATCTTGCTAACTGATGTTGGTTTTTTTTGTTCTTTGTTGGGCCAAAACTTTTCGTTTTTTATTAAATAAAAAAAAACATTTAAAAGCTCAAATTTGATTAGTTGAATACCTGTGAGATATAATCTGGATTTTTATTAAAAGAAGAACCTCGATTAACAATTTTGGCGCCGAATAAGAAGAAAAAACGCTTGATAGTCGAGCTACTTAAGAATTGTTGCAAAACGTTTTTGTTTGCTTTTAAGTGAAAACATTTGAATGAATGATTAGCTGTTTTGCGTACCGTCCCAGCAGACGCAATTTTTCATAATTTTCAGGGTTTCATTTGGAAGAGGGAGGGGGGCAGATGGACAATGTGATTCTTTTAAGAAACATTCACGACAATTTTTTTTTTTCAAAATCCACCCTCCAATTATAAACAATTAAAGCCTAGTTGCGCACCTAAGTAATTAGCTAAGAAAATAGGCTTCCGTTCTACTCACTTAAGTTTTTTGTTCACTCTGTATTCGCCCGGGTGCATGCTTAAACTGAGGGAGGGTCTCTTTTGCTGAACCCACCACTCAACGTAGTCTTCGGGTGGAATATCGCCTGGGTTGAAATAGGGGGGAATGTTCCAGAGTATGTCCGAGGAGTCATCTTGGTCCTCTCCGACTTCCCCTCCCCCTACCCCGCGACCGAGCAGAGGCGGCCACGTTTTGCTTCTGGAGGCAACAAGTGACGGACTGGTGATAAGAGCTATCGTTAGTGTGCAATAGATGAAATGGTGATTCATTTTCTACAACAAATAAAACTTCTCAAATCAATCCAAGGAGTGTTCAGTATGAGAATAAGTTAAATATTAACAACAGAAAGAGTGGCCGGTTGCTGTGTACGGATCTCAGAATGTTCCGATCACACTGATTATAGAATAGGACTTCAAGAATGAAGAAAAAAACTTTAAAACAGTTTTAATTTTTTTTCCAATTTTTGTCCAAATTTCCTGTTATTTTTTGTTTTAGAAAATGCGACGAATTTAGGTGAAAAAATGCTAGAATGAGTGCTAATAATTACTATAAAAAATTTAAAGTTTCTCTTCAAACTGTTAAATTAAGTCTGTGGAAAAAAAGAATGGAGACCAAATTTTCAGAATTCGAGTCACCAATAGGGCTTTGAAACGATATCACCCTCGGCCCCCTACGAGCTTTATTTACGGTAGTCGAAATTGGCCGGAAGTATTTTCGAAAGCCCAACCCTAGTTTTTCCCCTTCACTTGTGGAAGTAGTCGGAACAAAAGTTACTACTAGTTTCAACAAATTATTACTAGTTTCAACTTTTTCCACTTAACCAAAAAAGAAGCTAAATTTCAACGAGTATAGGGACTCTTCAAAATTTCAAGGAGAATTTCAAAGTTCAAAGAAAGTTGACCAAAAACGGTGGAATAGTTTGATTAAATATGGCAGAAAAAGAATGAAGGTAACTCACGTCGGCGCAATAAATTTACAAAACTAAACAATAATTGACTTTCTTTTTTCCACCTAAATTCAATACTAAAGAAAAAGTATTAACAACTTCTTGCGTCAGACGATATGATTTGCTGTTCAATCAAACTGAAACCGCGCGACTGTTCTAATTGAAAAGACGCTTTCAGTTCAATTCCGCCGAGAAGTAGCTTCCATAAATGAACAATGAAATTAGTGCTTTTTATTTTTTATTAATCAAGTTAATTGATAGTACGGCCCTGATGCCCGAATTAAATGCCGCGATTGCGAATTTAGACAAATGTTTTAGCTATCACCTTGGCATTAGTACAAAAATACTTTGATTGGTTTTGATATAGTAAGTGTGTTTCTAGTCAAGCATCTCATTAAGTATCAAAAATCGTGCCTGAATTAGGACTCAAGCGAATTTCTGCGATGTTTTAAAAATCAATTGTGCAAAGTAATTTTTCCATTTGAAGAGCAAATTTGATAACAAGTCAGACATATTGTTTTTTTTGTTTTTCTAGAAACAATGTGTTTCTGGTCAAGCATCTCATAAAATCGTGCCTGAGTTAGGCTTCGAGCTTATTTTTACAATGTTTTTAAAATCAGTTGTGCAAGATAATTTTTGCATTTGAAGAGCAAATTTGATAGCAAGTCAGGTATTTTTTTTTGTTTTTCTAGAAACAATTTGTTTCTAATCGAATCATCTCATAAAGTATCCGAAATTGTACCTCAATTAGGTTTCGAGCTAGGTTTTATAATGCTTTGAAAATCATTTGTGCAGGACAATTTTTGCATTTGAAGACCATATTTCATTCCAAGATGTTTTGTTTTCTAACCATTAGTTATTCATACCGTCCATCGCACTCAGATTTTTTGACCTTGAGAAATGGGTAATAGTCGTAACATTAGACAAAGTGAGACTAAAGATAAAATGCGCTCTTTAGATACCAAAAAGGGCGTCAATACACTGATTGACGAGCAAGATATCGCCAGCTTCTTCTAAAAAAAGATTCTATGCGCTTTATTTTGACATAATACGACAAAGCGCAACAAAAAACATCCTGAGACAAAAAAAAGCAAAAAGACACGTCGCCACAAAAGACAAAACTCTCTTTAGTAACCAAACAAATATACACCGATTGACGCGCTTAATGTCACTTGTTTGTTTGAAGAAAGATTTTACGTGCTATATTTTGACGTGAAACGACAAATGGCATCAAAAAACATCTTGAAAGAAATGATAACTTGCGCCAAAAACACCTCCTAAAAAAGACATATTTTTAAAATCTTTTTACTTATCAACCGAACAAAACAAACTGGTTGACGCGCTTAATATCAATCGTTAATCTAAAAAAATGAGTAGTCTAAATTTTGAAGTAATACGACATATCGCAGCAAAAACATCTCGAGACACCAGATAACTCGCGTTAAAAGACAAACTTCTCTGATCTTTATAGATACCACATAAAACAATCTACAATGATTGATGCGCAGGATACTACCTGTTTATTCAGAAAAAAAATTATGGCCTAAATTTTGTCGTAATACGACAAATCGGAACAAAAAACATCCTGAGACAAAAAAAAAGCAAAAAGACACGTCGCCACAAAAGACAAAACTCTCTTTAGTAACCAAACAAATATACACCGATTGACGCGCTTAATGTCACTTGTTTGTTTGAAGAAAGATTTTACGTGCTATATTTTGACGTGAAACGACAAATGGCATCAAAAAACATCTTGAAAGAAATGATAACTTGCGCCAAAAACACCTCCTAAAAAAGACATATTTTTAAAATCTTTTTACTTATCAACCGAACAATACAAACTGGTTGACGCGCTTAATATCAATCGTTAATCTAAAAAAATGAGTAGTCTAAATTTTGAAGTAATACGACATATCGCAGCAAAAACATCTCGAGACACCAGATAACTCGCGTTAAAAGACAAACTTCTCTGATCTTTATAGATACCACATAAAACAATCTACAATGATTGATGCGCAGGATACTGCCTGTTTATTCAGAAAAAAAATTATGGCCTAAATTTTGTCGTAATACGACAAAACGGAACAAAAAATAACTTGAGACAAAAACTTCGTCTCGCCAAAAAACACATCACAACATAAGAAACATTTCGCTCATCTTTTTAGCTACTAGAGAAAACAGTCTAGACTGATTGACGCGTATCATAACACTCGCTAGTTAAAAACATTTTTGTGCTACAATTTTTGTGCTACAAAAACAACTTGCAATATAAGAAATTTCGAGACTAAAGACAACTATTGCTCAGTTTCGATTTGGAAACAACTATTTAAATGAGTAATGTATGAATACCTTTTGGTGTAAAATAGTTGTTCTGAGCTGAAGTTTTCGCCTTTTTAGTGGTCTTTGTTTCTAAAAACTGCGCTGGAAAAGAAAGTTTTAGAAAACGCGTTCAAAGAAATTTCGTTTTTTTTCTCAGCGCGGGAAATCACCGTGGGAATCCTTAAATTTCGAAGTCTTAAAAATATCCTGAAACTGATATAAACTCACTATAACACTGATGGAGCTTTTTATGGAGCACAAAAGTTTTGGCAAAAATCTGTAATCAAATACAACCAAGAAAATTGGCAGATTGTATTACAAATTTTATTGTATACAGACTGGATAAAACTATACACAGATTCTATACAGGCTGTTTGTTCAACAGTTGATTTCTTAGTCTCTAAGCCCGATGTGTTTTTTGGGAAAACCACACCCTCTATCTAAATAGAATCAATTTTTGCTCGCAGAAACTCGATTCTTTACTTTTGCTTTTCCCCACTTTCGATCTTTTGCGCTCGGGGTGGTTTTTCTCCAGACGATTGTCGACTACTAGCAACCCATCTTTGACGGGATTATTTTTTTGAATCATCTGAAAAGTATATGAGATCATGAGCTCAAATTGAAAAATATATCTTATCTGCGATCATTTTTTGCAAATTAATAGCCGTTCAAACTGTGCCAATTTCGAATAACTTTCAAAAAATCAGTAAACTTTCGAAATTTTTTTCTGTTTTTCCAACTAAAGATTTTTTAAAGCTCGATTACTAGTCTATAGGGGTTAATAGGCAGTCAGAACATTCAAAGCGTCACTTTGATAGGAACAGTCTTGTTTTTACATCCATATTATAGTCAATTGGTTATCCACTTTGTCACAGAGGATTACTAAAAATTTGCAAAAATTTGGTCGATGAGAAATAATAGTAACAATCTGATTTCAAAATTTCATCGGATCCGTGACCAAAACAATTATGCGGTAAAAATAAAATTAAAAAGTTCATGGTAATAAATGAAATTAAAATACACCGGTGGAAATATCCTTAGTTTTTGATTCAATTTATGCAGTATAGAAATATATTCTAGGTGAACTCATATTTTCAGATCGACTGGACAATTTTTTGGTTGCTTCGAGAGCATTGTTTCTTTTTTGTTTTTGATTTTTTTCTGTAATTCAATTTTTTTGCAATCGTCAGACCTTCAAAACTGGAGAATAACCTTGTTTCTACATTTCTACAATCGCTTCATTTTTCATTTTTTTATCCGAAAATGAAACAGAACTGTTATGTTGACTAATTTCCCAGAGGAAACGTCATTCGACATATCGACAGAACTCCTGATAATCTTTCAAATTGAGGTTTAATCAAATCATTTATAATTTGAAATTCGATTGAAACATACCATTTGAGTCAAAACAAGGATAGTTGGTTACTTTGCAAGTAGCACAGAATATCCTGACCACATTCTTTTACAATGTAAGTTTTTTTTTCAAACAATTGTATCTTTTTTCAAAGTGTCGTTTGTTCTGTTGGGTGTGATAAAAAATATGAACAAACAAATAGAAATTAGGCAAATACGGCAGCAATAGTCAAATAGGTCAATTGAAAGAAAGTTTTAAATGATGAATTTAGAAAAAGAAAAAATTTTGTTAAAACCAATTTTAAAACTTTTTAAACTTTTTCTTACTTTTTTGAATTTTTGAAATTTTTGATTCCCAAAATGTCACAGTATGAGCTCAAAATTAGACCAAAAACTAAAATTCCAAACTTATTTCTTAAAAATTTTTTGCATATGGTTCGAATCACGACTGAAAAGACTTTAAATTAATATACCCCTCACTCTATTGCGATGATTATTTGAGGTACCTGGTTTTGCGTGCAAAACAAAAACTAGCAAACAGTCGAATACAAAAAAATACTCGACATTTTTCAAATGGTCTGAACAGCAAGGATAGCTGGTTACTGCGTAAATACAACCTATTAAAAGTCTTTTCGCCCGCTTTATTTGCTCAATCAAAAAGTAGAAATCAAAGTTTTAAAGCTGTTTTTCTACCTTCTTTTTGAAATATTTTTAAAGTCGATCGAATCACGATTAAAAGAGTTTTAATATGATAATCACTCGACCCTTTCCGATATTTTTGGTATCTGACTTTGCGTGACAAACAAAAAGGTAAAAAATACCCGAATACAAAGTTCCTCGACATTTTTCAAATGGTCGGAACAACACGGATAGCTGGTTATTTCTCTCACCTGTTGAGACCTTATGTTGTGATCCAATTGTGATTCGTAGAGGCCGATGATCCTTAACTTCAGTGATTGAGGAAATTGTGCCTTCTTTCTTCTACCCAGTCAATGTCCTGGTAGTGCGTAATAAATGATCGAAGAGGGGATTGTGCGCAAAACATTGGTACCCTAAATGGAAATATACACCAACGAGCTGATTTATTATTAATAGGTGAGCCGAAAAGAATTATGTTAATTCTTTTAGGAAGAACGCTGGGACCCATGGGTTTTGATTTCTAGGCAATGTTCTTGAGGCACTTGAAAATTGTTAAATTTATAGCTGGCCTAATTTTCCGACCATTACAGGCGCGCATCTAGAATTTTTTCGAGGTGATGGGCGCGGATTTTTTTTTAAAAAGTCAGACATTTCGTCTTTTTTTAGGTCGACTAGATTGATTTTTTTTCGAGCAAATTTGACCTGAGCACCAGCGCTTATGTTGCTTAACAGATCGCTTGCATGAGTCAGTAGACTCATTTTGAGCAAATTAGGACTAGAGCATCATGATGGGGTCGGGCAGATGATGACAAGGGGGGGGGGGGGGGGGGAGGGGGAGGGGATCGGGCTTGGGTGGGGTTATATT